AAGCCCGAGCTCGCATGCGCCGGCACCTACGGGCACGAATGTCGTCCGGAAATTGGCTGGCCTTGCGGGCTAAGTTATGCCAAACTTCGGTATCATTTTTCATTTGATATAGTCACTTGGTTCGGCCGAAACCGAACCGAGAGGACCTACTCTCTTGCTACAAAGAGCACGAGAGGAGAGGTTGTGGTGCACCGAGAGCACAACTCTCGTGCATCTGTGATCACGAGAGGTGCACTCTCGGGTTGCACCACAGCACGCATGAGAGATGTACTTTCGTGTTGCTGGTCCTTATGCTCTCGTGTGCACCTGCACCCCAACGGTCTGAAACCCGAAAGTTCAGCCTGTTGTACAGATTAAACTCATCTGTTACGGAATTAATACTGTTTTAATTTCAATTTTAAATTCTGAGTTTAATCCTACTTAGTGGGTGGCTGTTACAGGTGTTACACAATTGGTTTTAATACCAATTTAATGGCCATGTTGAATGCTAGCACTCCAACATCCCTATATAAAGAGAGGTAGAGTAGTAGCATTTTACACAGTACACGAAACTAAGGAATTCCAGTGCAGTTTTACTTCAAAACTTCTGCTTCTACTCTCTTCTTTTAGCCAACCAGTGTTCTTGCTGTGCTTTGTTTGCCGGGTTCTTTGTTTAGGTGCTTAAACAAAGAATCGTAGCACGTTTTATCCTAGGAAACCTAGGCTACAACGCTCCTAGCACTTGTGGGAGGTAGCAAATAAGGTTTTAAGGAAAAGACCTTTGTGTTCGAATTCGTGCTAAACCTATATCCAAACACTCCACATTTTCCTTCCCAGTTTTTTCTGTTTTCCCATACAATAATAATTTTTTCTGTAGAATTATTATTTTGGGATTTTTTCAACCATATTACCCAACATTGACTCTTTGTGCTTCAACAGATTGAGAAAGTATAAATGAACGTTTTTAATATAACTAGTATTTTCACCTGTGTGTTGCACGAAATAAATTTGTTATAATATTTTAATAATATTTAGATCGATATACAATTATATAAGTTATAACAACGAATATTATATAGTGCAATTGATGAAATGAGTTAGAACGATTATGTTTTCTGATGTTATCCTTGTTTGAATTTGAGCAAATAATTAACCAATTACTCGTGCGATGCACGGATACATTTTTTTTATTATATATTTAAATAATAAAATTAGAGATGAAATTATAAACAATTTTAATATTTGAAAGTGTACATTTATAATTTGATTATAAGATTAGTACAAAAGTATCACTCAATTAATTGAATAATATATTACTCATTTTTCTATAATTATCTTTAAAAAATCGATATGTAATATGATTTATGTAATTATATTATTATTTAAAATAAATATGGGGAAAATATAAATAATTTAATTGTAATTATTATAAAAATAAATTCAACGACCCATGTTTAACTTAATTATCATAATAATTATTAGGCAATTATACTTTTATACCTGAAGTATATTATTTTTCACTATATCACCTTTACTTTTTTCCTCCTTCTCCATATTTGAATAAATTAATTGTATTTATTATAAAAACATCCAATGATCCATGTTTAATTGTAATTATAATAATGTCCTTGTAATTATTATCTTAATTAACATAATAATTATTAGTCAATTATACTAATATTTGTGTAATTAATTCCTTAATTATCATAATAATTATTTGTCAATATATATATATATATATATATATATATATATATATATATATATATATATATATATATATATATACTAGTATTTTTTTATGCGCGATGCGCAAAAAATAGGTGCCCAATATTAATACATTATATTAAAATTTTAAATTTATTTAGATTTTAGATATTTAAATTATTCTAAATAATAATAATAATGTAAATCATTTTTATAAATTTGATATTTACATTTATGTAATAATTAACATATACCTCAAATATTTAATGTGTATATATTATTATTAATGAAGAAGATAAGAAAATATATGGTGGATGCATGTGCATGGTAACAATAGTGGAAAAGATAACGGAAGTTATAACGGTAGGGGTATGTTTGTCCAAAATATTTTAATGTACAACCTTTATAGCATAATGTACAAAAAAACTTAACAGAAAAATCGGACATAAATCAGGGGTATAACTTTCATTCACACTTATTATGTTTTTAGAGATATATATATATATATATATATATATATATATATATATATATATATATATATATATATATATATGAGAACACTTGCTTAGGTGAGAACGTGAGAACAAATTTGTGCATTCATATAATTAATTTTAATGGTCTAGATTAAGTGTGTTCGAACGCGGATTAAATCTGTGCAAACGCGATTGATCTAGACCATTAAATAATATTAGATGGATGCACACGATTTGTTCTCACGTTCTCACTTAAGCAATTGTTCTCATTGACCCCCCCCCCCCCCCCCTCTCTCTCTCTCTCTATATATATATATATATATATATATATATATATATATATATACAAAACAAAATCCTCCTATTTTATTTCCCTCCCAAACTTTTGTAGTAAAGCTTATTTAGAAAATAAATGTCAAATGAAAATTAATTAAAATCTATTAATTGATAATATTGCATAATTGGTAATATTATGTATGTTATAATATTATTGTTCAAGTCTAATAAAAATCCTATGTAATAATGTAATAATAAAATAAAATTACAATTACAATTACAATAATAATAATAATAATAATAATAATAATAATAATAATAATAATAATAATAATAATATATCTTCCATATATACAAATGAATTAAGATAACAATTCATTTCTATAACTGAGTTGCTAGCTAGAGACGGGCATATTTGCATAATTTATATTAAAAAAATACTAAACAATGATAAATAAAATTTCCAAAGTTACAACATCGCATGCGTACATCTACACATTAGCTATTAATTTGAGCAATTATTTGCTCAAATTCAAGCAATGATAACATTAAAACACATAATGATTCAAATCACATCTTCAATTGCACTATATAATATTTGATGTTCTAATTTAAATAATTATATATCGATTCACATATTGTTAATATATTACAATAAATTCATATCGTGCATCGCACGGGCGAAAATACTAGTTATATAATATTCTTCACACACACACATTGGATCATATGAGAACAAGTCCTTAGGAGAAAACTAAGAACCAATCTCAACCTTACATCTAGAAAAATTGGATGGACCAGATCTGATTTAAAAAAATATATATATGGTGGCATTTTCGTAATTATCACCAAATTTACTATGCAAACTTGAACACTAAAATCTGCAATTTTCAAAATTTTTCAGGTTTGTACATTTAGTACTAACATTTTGCACATTTAGTATTAACATTTTGCACATTTAGTATTAAAATATTGCACTTGCGAAAATGCGAAAGTACATTGCACTTAGGGTTTTGATTTTAGAGTTTATGATTGTGTTTTTGGTTTTATTTGGTTTAGTGGTTCACTTTTTACTGATTAGCATTTAGGATTTACATGTTAGCTAGATTTAAAATTTAGATTTTGCATTGATTTTATAAAATTTGCCAGGTTTGCGTATTTAGTTGTTAAAGATTGCATATTTAAGTGTTCAAGTTTGCATAGTAAAGTTGATGGTAATTATGAAAATGTCACCACATTTTTTTAAAAAATACGAACGTCTTTAAGATTTTTCAAGAGTGATGAAAATTCTTTACTAGATCTAGTTGTTGCGGATTCTTATCTTTTACACCGATAGATTTCCCGCACTTCTGGCGCCAAGGAGCACTGGTAGATATATATGGTCCAATTTGGAGAATGTATATGGGACATAGTCACTCTTTTATGATCAGTATAGTCAATATGTATGTTTGTCAGATTATTTGCAAATTGATTGTTTGGGTTCATATCTTCCACTAATGTTGTGAACCGGTCTTCATAAAGTATGCAGTCAGACAACAGATGGAAGTTTATAATCAACATGTATTTGATAGCCCCTAGAGATACGCCATGGTGGTGATACAGTAAAATAGACTACATACTAAAAATAGAAATGCAAATTGAGAAATGTTCAATTTGAAACCACGGTGTAAGGGAAATAACTCCGGTCGTTATATCGTCCACCGCGGTGCATAATCGATTATGCACCGCGCGTCAAAACGGCGTCGTTTCTGCAGTTATAACGGAATGACACTACAGTGTGTCTAAACCGACACTATCTCACATATTATTTTTATATTATCAAATGAAACTGCAGTTATATCAAAATGATACTGTAGTTGTGGTAAATTGAAATTAAAGTATATATAAAATGAAACTGAATAACATTTCACATATTTGGGTGTATATTGTACAATGAAGCTGTAATTATATTGAAATGATCATGTAGTTGTGTTTTAATGAAACTATAATGTATATAAAATAAAATTAAACAACATTTTCACATATTTGAGTGTATAAATATTGAATGAAACTGTAGTTATATCGAAATGAAACTGTAGTTGTGTTGAACTGAAACTACAATATATATAAAATGAAACTGAAGAACAGAGTTATTTTTTGTGAATTTTTGTGAAAATTCTGTTTCTTTTCATTAAACAAAACGACGTCGTTTTGATGCTGCATGATCAGTGCACGATATAATTTGCGAAATAATTCATGATATGTAACGGGTCGGACTTTTGAAACATAAATATGACCATTAAACAATAATGTCCAAAATACATATTATTTATAACAAAAGGAAGAAAAAAATAAGATTTTTTAAAAATAATTAACATGCTTAGTTGGCGCGTGAATTAAGCGCAGCTGGTGCGGGACGAGCACCAGCTGACCAGCATAAGTTGTATTTAAAAAAAAAAATTATTTTAAATCTCAGTTAACCTCACAAAACTTCCATGCATTTTTATTTTATCTCCTAAGTCCTACCTCATATCTCTTCTAAATCATCACCCAAAAAAAAAAAAAAGAAACTCTAAGAAACTATTGTAATAACAAATATTCATTTTACGCAATAAATTATAACTATAATAAATAGCAAAAGCTAAAATTTAATGAAAATAAAAATAATATAAATCACTTGGGCACTGTCCAAATACTATCCTAAATAACTCCCTTCTAAATCAGGTTCTCTTTAATCTGAAACTTCTGCAGAAGCAGCTAAAATTTTATTTGAATGGATACGTGTGGCATCCTCTACTACCACTACTACTGTAGTTTATGCAAGTCTCAAGCTGTTATCTGACCACCCTTTTTATCAATGTCTTCCAGAGCTGCCCATAGCTTAGCATCTGCATAATCTTTGATAAGGAATGCAGGCTTTGCTTCCATGAGTAAGTGAGCAGGATTTTGTGTGGTCAAGCCAATAACTGGAACCCCGGCCGCCACTCCAGCTTTTATTCCGGAAACAGAATCCTGGACAGAAAAAAAAGCGTTAAGAGTCCTGCATTGAAAATATAAGAGAGAAAATGTGAGTTTATAAGGTCATGAGTTAAACTAGATAATTGATTGGATTCAGTCTTTTAGTGTGGGAGTTAATGTCATCTAAGGTTCTCCGAGTTTGGTGGTTTCGCCACGTTTAGTCCTAAACTTTCAAATCGAACCCTCTGGGTCTTCCGAGTTTTGAATTTCGACCTGCCGTGGTCCTTCCATTAACATATGTCGTCTGCGCCGTGAAAAGTAAGAGTAAAAGAGTCTTTTTATGTCTAGCCCAGCCAAACAATTGATTTCCCTCAAGAATTAGCTGTAGATTAGGACTAATTCTTGTGGGAAATCAATTGTTTTGGCTGGGCTGGACATTATCTACGGCTAATTCTTGAGGGAAATCAATTCTTTGGCTGGGCTAGACATAAAAAGACTCTTTTACCCTTACTTTTCATGGCGGACGGCAGATGTTCTCGGAGATTAGGGCTAATTCTTGAGAGAAATCAATTGTTTTGGGTGCGCTGGACATAAAAAGACTCTTTTGCCCTTATTTTTCACGGCGCAGACAGCAAATGTTAACGGAAGGACTATGGCAGGTCGAAATTCAAAACTCGGAAGACCACGGGTGGTCAATCTTTAGACTATAACAAAGAGAAATATGTTCTCAATCCAATTCAGAAAACCAGAAACTGAACATCATCCTTTATAAAGGAATTTCAAACCTCAAAGATGATGGTGTGATCCTTTGAAACCTTCAGCATTTCGAGTGCCTTTAAGTATGGGTCGGGGAATGGTTTTGCATGCTCACACTCGCTCCCGACAATAACAGCACTGAAGAAGCCCGAAAGGCCAAGTACTTCAATAATCATTTCAGCATTTGGCCTGGGGGCGTTAGTTACTGCAGCCCGTTTCAACCCACGATCCTCAATCCACTTCTTCAGCTTGAATAAGCCATCGATAGGCTTCACTTTTTCCTTTGCCAAACTGGATTATGAACCCAAAGAAGTTATGAGGAGTTGGGAACCGAAGAGGTCAAGTGACTTGGGGGAAGCAGGGAAAAATGAGGAAAACCTTCTAAAAAGAGCTTCTTTGTCGTCTAAAAATTTCGCACCCTTTACACGATCATCAGGGAAAAGGTAATCGGCAATATCATCATTATGTTTCCCAGCAATGTGTTTGACAAAGAATTCCTCATCAATCGGCACACCACCATTGTAGCCTATCTGTATCACTCAAACCCCCAAGCGCCAAGGGTGTTAGAAATCAAGATTCACGAAAGGTCTCACATAAACCTCAAAGCTCGAAACCATATACAATAAATTAAGCGCAACAAGAAAACAAAAGCAGGAGAAGAAATTTATACCTCTTGAAGCATTCCTTGAAAGGCAAGAAGGTGGATTGGATCAGAATCGCATAAGGTTCCATCAATGTCAAATAATACTGCTTCAAGTGGAACAAGTTGAGCAAGACAAGAAGTACTGTAAATTAAGAATGCAGAGAATCTGTTAGATTACAAGTCTCATAAATAAAACAAGAAGGAATGTCCAGTTTTATCTGAAACAGTTTGCATTCTACACAGTACAATATCCAGTTTAACCTTGCTTTTCCTGTTTAATAACATTTACTTTCCACACAAAGTTTCTCAATTATACAACCTTTGAAATGACAAAGCTATTCGTGCCTTGAACTAAACAACAAAGTCGCGATTCAACTACAAAGTTTCTCAATTATACAACCTTTGAAATGGCAAAGCTATTGGCGCCTCGAACTAAACAACAAAATCGCAATACAACTTCAAAGGTTCTCAATTATACAACCTTTGAAATGACAAAGCTATTCGTGCCTCGAACTAAACATCAAAATCGCGATTCAACTTCAAAGTTTCTCAATTATACAACCTTTTTCAGACAAAGCTATTCGTGCCTTGAACTAAACAACAAAATCACGATTCAACTACAAAGTTTCTCAATTATACAACCTTTGAAATGACAAAGCTATATGCGCCTTGAACTCAACAACAAAATCGCCATTCAACTTCAAAGTTTCTCAATTATACTACAAAGATCACAGATCCAAATGATTTTGGAAAAACCAATGACTGATTTGTTTCAAGGAAATCTCTTCACAAAGTAATTTTTTTAAGGGATTTCTACCATGTCTATCTTATGCTTACACACGTTATACGAGGCCAGCAACATAGAATTTCCTGTAATATATATACTCCTCATCTATACTTCCACATTCATCGGATTCATCAAGACCTCAAAAACTCCAACATAATAAGGCATCATGGAATCACGAACTCGACAAAAATTTATATAAAACGGACACAATCTTTCTTTGTGTGAATCACTACACTTCTGGCCTTTCCATTTACATCGCAAGAAGCAGCGATGCATATGGAATTATCACCAGCACATATATAAATAAAAAAAATGAAAGAGCAGACCCAGATCAAATCTTGGATGGAATAACAAAAATATGTGCCAATCAAAGGGGAAAACTAAAAAAACAGATCATAAAATCACCTGTCCATTGGCTTCTCTGCAGTGTAGCAGTCGTATTAGGGGATGTTCGTGCAATAATTTTTTGTTTTTATGGACAAAAAAAAATGAGGAACCTCAAGTATAGTCTGTAAGATGAAATGGAGGAGAGTGGGAGAATATGAGGAGCGAATGTGAGCAGAATCTTCCAAAGCATCAAAACGCAGGGAGCGCCAGAAAGGCGTAATTGCGTAAATGTCTTGTGGTTAGACCGGCCAACCGGTTTAAAGAAAATTAAAAATAATAATTGAAAAAGAAACGTACCGGGTTTCACAAGCTGCACTTTTCCGACTTTCATTGAGGCACGTGTATGGCATTGTTTTCTTTTATTTTTGTCTGACTAATGAAATTGCTAAAAGTTATACGTCTCAGTTTTACTATATAATAATAAAGTCATAAGATTTCAGCCAATCACATCACTTCAATTTCTCATCCCATCAAAACTGTGTCATTTTGTCTATGTAAATATTGTAGTTGAATTATTCAGATTTATTGACTATTAAAATCTAAGAAATAAATGTGTTTGTATTTGAATTGAATACTAAAGCTATAATTAACAACCTTTTTGGAGTCTCAATTTCTAGGAATCTGTTCCGACGGCTCTTAATATTGTGGGAATCTGTTCTGACGACTATTGATATAAATGCTACTGACAACATTTGAACTAAGATTTTTTTTAAGTAATATACATATACATACATATATACAAATATATATTAATAGATATACATATATCAATTCAAATTTAATCAAATATATTTTCAACTTTTCAGATGTGGTGTTTCTTCTTCCCATGTACACTCATAATCGCTCTGCAAACATGCTCGCACGGCTGATTGAAATCTTCTCAAATTGCTTCTATAAATACTGAGTACTAATTTACCATTTGTCTTACACCATTCTCCCATTGAAGCTAGGGTTGATAGAACTTTCTTTGCCATATTTACTCTTTCTGAAAATCTGCAAATGACTCCACTATTCATTCAAGGTAAAGAAGCAATTAGATTAAGGTTGGTTCGCACATATACGGTACCTAAAGGGCGCAATACAGACTGTATTAAGAGCCAAGAATGTTTGTTTCATGACAATGAGGTAAGCTCTGTTTATATTGCACCTAAAAAAAAAAATTATTGTTAGTAAAATCAATTTTCTTTCTTTATAGGGCACTTATATACATGGTAATATTCCTAAAGATTGTGTCGAACAATTTGGTAAACTGTTTAAAGAAGGGAAGGTGTATTCCATAAAAGATTTTGGGGTTATCTCACACTACTATCAGTACAAAACCACTGAGCACATGTAGAGAGACACAGGAGAAAGGGTTTTCCCAACCTCATGTTTTGGCTTAAGACTTTCAATGACTTAGGGGTCGTTTACCAACTTGGAAAAATGAAGAATTTTTTTAAAAAATGGAGAAATTAAGAAGTGGAAAAAATAAAAATTAGAGAAGTTGTTTACTAAATTTCTTCTTCCAAATGCTTACTCCTTCCCCAATCTCCAACCTTCTTAACAAATTTGGAGAAAGCCAAAAGGATGCGTGTGAATAGTGCATACAATTGAGTGGCCTCCGGTTTGAATCCTGCTGTGTGCATAGTTAAAGACAAAGGATGCGTGTGAATAGTGCATACTATTGAGTGGACAAAGGATGCGTGTGAATAGTGCATAACAAATTTGGAGAAAGCCAAAAGGATGCGTGTGAATAGTGCATACTATTGAGTGGCCTCCGGTTTGAATCCTGCTGTGTGCATAGTTAAAGACAAAGGATGCGTGTGAATAGTGCATACTATTGAGTGGCCTCCAGTTTGAATCCTGCTGTGTGCATAGTTAAAGACAAAGGATGCGTGTGAATAGTGCATACTATTGAGTGGCCTCCGGTTTGAATCCTGCTGTAGTTAAAGACAAAGGATGCGTGTGAATAGTGCATACTATTGAGTGGCCTCCGGTTTGAATCCTGCTGTGTGCATAGGTAAAGACTTAAAGGAGACGCCTTCACTTTGTCTATGCTTATGCTACTGGCTCTATTACATTGTAGTATCTGTTCATATAGACAAAGAACCAACGCCTCCACTGAGGCTCAAACTCACAACCTTCCAAATGGAAATCCAACCCGGATACCATTAGACCACATAGTCCTGGTCTTCTTTTTAATTACTTATTATTATTATTTGTTCTTTTTCTTTTCTTTTGTTCTTCTTCTTTCTTATTATTATTTGTTCTTCTTGTTCTTCTTATTTCTTCTTCTTATTATTTATTTATTTATTTATTTATATTATCTTTATTATTATTTTTTAAAAGCTTATTATTATTATTATTATTATTATTATTATTATTATTATTATTATTATTATTATTATTATTATTATTACTATTATTATTATTATTATTATTATTATTATTATTATTATTATTATTATTATTATTATTATTATTATCTTTTTTCCTTTTTTCTCCTCTTTGTGCACACAGTGTTGTTGTTGTTGTTGTTGTTGTTGTTATTATTATTATTATTATTATTATTATTATTATTATTATTATTACTAGTAATTCACCTGCGCGATACACGGGAAAAAATTATATTATTATAAATATAAATAAAAAATAAAAAACTAAAATATTTTAAATTATTTAATATAATAATATTTTTGAGCTTCCATTGGTCAAGTATTTATTATTTTTATAGAATACAAAATTACAATTAAAATTAAAATTAAAATTATAATTTTGTATGGTTAATATAATCTCTAATTATGTGCATATTCAAATAAACTTATAGAGAGAATTTACATAATTACATTGATTTATTCTTAATTGTATTTCATCTATATTATAATTTTCACAAAACGAATAATAACTAAGATAATTACATTTGGAAAGTAAATTTAAATTTTTGTATGTGTAAATTTAAACTCTAATTGAACACATTTTTTATATGATTATATAATATATAGCTATTTTATTTTTCAAAATTATATATATTTTTTATATGATTATATAATATATAGCTATTTTATTTTTTAAATATTGTGCTTTTTTTTTTTCACAATACGAATAATAACTAAGATAATTACATTTGGAAAGCAAATTTCAAATTTTGTATGTGTAAATTTAAACTCTAATTGAACGTATTTTTTATATGATTATATAATATATAGCTATTTTATTTTTTAAAAGTATATTTTTTATATGATTATATAATATATAGCTACTAGTATAGTCCCCGTGCGATGCACGGGATGGATATTGTTCAAGATCTTGACTAATTATTTAAATAATTGTATATATTATTAAGTAAAGAATCTTCTCGGTTCAAAATATAAAGAATAATTAAAAAAATGTTAACACACAATTAAAAAAAAAATCCCGTTCATAACACAATTACAAATTATTGAAGATTTCCTGGTATGCTACATTGGTCGTTGATGTAGCATTTGTACTTGAGTCGTTGGCAGCGACTATTTGCGCACGATTAGACTGATGCGGAACACTATTTATTAACGATGATTCCAGGCCTTCATTGAATATAATATCTTCATTCTCTGCATATAATATCATTAATTTTTGATAGACTCTGTTATAATGAAGTTTATAATCTTCAGACCAAATTATTTTAAATAGTATCAATTCTAATTATGATCTCGTAAAAAAAGGTTGCTTTTATAAAAAGATTTTTTTATATACTAAATCTTATGTAATGAAAAACTGACACACATGTGAAATACAAAAAAAAAAAAAAAAAAAAAAAAAAAAAAAACTATCTATTCATAACATATTAGTTGACTGTGAGATATAATTTCCTAATTGGGTTGCCTAATGTGGTTCACACAATTTGGTTGACTGTGAGACCCCAACACCTTCAGTAAGTCTTTTCTGCGACTTTGGTTGCCTAATCTACCCCGCTATCTCGCTCGCTGCCCCTCGGCTTATCTTCGCCGTGAGCTACTCTCTATCTTCACAGGAATGGTTCTGTACTTCCTCAGTCTACTATGGCACCGTGAAGAAACCCTAGGCTTCATTAGAAAGGTTACAGATCCTGTTGTTAATATGGGAATCTGAGTGCAATTTCTGGTAATTTCATCCTATTTTTTGTTGTTCTTTCATTTCTAAGAAAGCCATGTTTAGGATCTTTCTTTCAATCGGTGAAGGATTGGCTAAAAACACCTTGACTATGAAAGATGACTAAGTCTTGAACACCGGATTGCGACATGCAAACAGGTAATGTCGCAATTTCAGTGCAGAGGTTTCGCGACTACTTTAAATGCTTACCGATTCCGGATTGAGTTGTGTAACAGTTCTCTATCTGTTTTTTTATGTGCTCTATATTTGCGATAGTGTATTTTTCCCCAAAAAAGTTGGGGAATATGAATCTGAGTCTAGGGTTTTAGCGAATCCTTTGTCTGATTTGCGATTCTGGAAAGAGATATATGCTAAGCTTGGCGCTAACCATGGTAGAAGTGGCAATCGGTGACTTGAGTTCAAATCGTTTCAGTAAAGCCTCACTTTTGAGATAAGTTTCAATCTACTTCATTTTAACTTTTTTATAAAAATTGTATATTTGTAGTGTTGAGCCGATAAAATGTTTATTTGTAGTGTTAATTAATTTACACTTAGATTTGATGTTGATATACATTTCTCTGGTTAATATGTTCTCCCTAATACATTTTGCTAATTCTGTCACTCCCTAATAGGTTGAATCATGCTCTTTGCATTGATTCTATTGAAGCTATTGTTCTGACTACACGGAAGGGTTCACAATTTACACAGAGAGCTTAGAAAAGAGATAAGTTTTCCTACTACTACAATTAAACATGTAATAGTAGACATACCTTTTGTTTGATGACACTGTTTCCTCTTGGGTCCAATTGTGCATGATGATGTAATTCTCCTCATGTTCTGCAATAGAAATGGTTTAACTACTGTGTTTTTGATGGATTGAGTTTATTGTGTTCAAACCATTGTTGTAAATCCAAGTCATGTTTATATTGGTTGTGTATTTATAGGGAAGGTAAACTGCTTTGTCTTTCAAATGATGTTTCAGGGCTTAATTATTCATGTTATCAAGTACATAGAGAACCTCAAAGGTTTTTGAAAGTGTTGTGTATTAATCCCAAAGAAAAAATATGATTTTTTTGTTTTTATTTTAATGAAGATGAAAGGTTAATGTATGTTGTTATAGTTTTATTTATTTAGGTGGTGATACTTTTTACTTGGTAACTGAATGTATATTTTTGTGCATTCTATGTCCTAAAATGATTGTCACTTGGGGCTTCATTTGAAAACTGGATTAAGAAAAAATTTGTATAAGTGTATATAAGTTTGACTTCATTTACACTTTTTAAAATCGATTTTTGCAGGGCATCTTGAATTCGATTTTTGTAGAGGTAATGTTACTTTACTCATTTTATTAAAACATTTACTAATTGAAGTGTTTTATGTCATTTTTTCTAAAATGATCTTTGATTTCTCATTGAAGGTGTTGGGGTCACAGATCAGAGATCTTACCTGACCCAAACGTAAACTTGGGAACCAAACCGAGTATGCAGAAGAGATCTTGTACACTGTTTAAATGTAAGTTTAAAATTTTTATTTTAATTGTGAGTTCAGAATTGTTTTGGTGCACTAATATATAGGATATTAAAATTTTATTTTTCTAATTTACTAACCACAGTTGTAACAATAAACTTGACAGGATGCTCCAAAGTTGTGAGGGCGAAAGGGATACACATTGTGATATTGTTTTGGAAGGCAAAGCAGGTAACATAAGTATAAATAGAAATTTTATATATTAAATAGGGGGGCATACCTGTATTTTTTCTTTTTTTTGAAGGAAAACATCTGTTAAATGTGTTTTGTTGTTATTAGGTATGTATTTGATTGCATTTGTTCTGAATGGCTATTTCCAATTATAAGCATCTTCCAACCAATTTAAGTTTCTAGAATATCACTTCATACATTACTTGTGATTATAATACAAATCCTCGATAAAATATTTTTTGTATTTTGCACAGTCCTAGAGTATTCTATGTGGTAAGTGGTATTTTTGGTATAAATAAACACTTTAAATATAGTTAGATTTGAAAGTAATACATTTTTTTCTAATAAGAGTAATACATTACCATTAATAACCAAGATATCATGTATTTTACATGGTAAAGATTTAAAACTATCATTCTGTTTACATGGCAAACAATATTACAGAAAAAGAAAGAAAGAATTTTTTTGAATCTTCATGCATGAACTATGTTGGTTGAAATTTTTTTTTTTTACAGTCTGTTTGAACTCATGCTATCATTTGTTATGTGTGATGACTTGGTATATTTGTAGCCTAAAAACCTGCAAAATAGACAAACAAAGACAAAACCACTACTGATTTCAAATTAGAGATTAGAAATACTAATGTCCAACATGAAGTTGTTGGCTACTGGTACTTTGCTTTGGTAGCCCTGTCATTTGATTATTGTGATACGGTATTCTATAGTTAGTCATGTCACCTGCATTTTAATTAGGAATATCATAGAAAGCAGTTATTTTAAAACAAAAGTCAAGTACTTTTACAACCTAGCCAACAAACACTTAGGCAAAAACTAATAAAGTAGACAAATGATTTCACCCCCTAAGTTCAGAATAATGTCTTATAAAAACCAAAAGACCAGAGTTCAATTGACAGTCACCATCTTGTCTTTCACAATTCTTTCAATTCCTCTGTTTTCACACCAACCTCCTTGTTCGTTTTGGAACACTGAAGACTCGAGAATTCCTCAATGTCGTTTTGGAATTCTGAGTACTAAACAATTAGTCAATTAAGGACCTTTTGAGAGCACCGGCTTCATATCCATCACCATCACCAGTAAGGCTCTGAGGAACAGCTTGCATAAGACTTTGTGCTTGCTTGACATCCACCTCATCATACACATAGGAAATGAGCTTGAGTTTAGGTACAGTCGATGATTAGAGACCAAGTTACCAAGCATTAGCAAAAATTGTTAAGACAAAATTACCTCATCCTCCGACAAATCATCGACTGTAAGCTCAAACTCCAAGTTGGAGCTTAGGTCTTTATCCCTTCTTCCATGCATAAACTCTGGGGCATGTCGCTCTAACACTTCCACATCATTTATAATCTTCAATATAGAAAATGCATTTAGGAGGTTTAGAAATTGTTCTTTTCGGACAACAATTCTGAAAATGAACCTGAGACCAATCAATGCTTCAAGCTCAGCAGGAACACCTTTTTTTCCCTACAGTTAAAACAAATAACATGAAGTAATTTTTAATTCAGATTCTAGGGCACAAAAAAAATCAGAGTCTTAAAGATTTTATAACATAACCAAAAATTGACCTGTGTCTGCTTCTGTTTCAATTCTAGGAAACTCATACCCAATAACTCAGTGCACTCCCTGTCCCACATGACAAATGGAGCATTTCCATTTATGTCAAAAACCCTGATTTTAACCCTATATCTCAACATCCCATCTTCCCAAGTTTCGTCACAATTTTTGCAGTAGAGGTACTCTTCTTTTGGCTCCAACTTCTTGTAGCATGATTTTGACCGACATGAAGAATAATACCACTCACTATCAGTGTCAATGCAAACTATTCTAGCTGCTACCCAAAGTCCCCAATCTGTTGCACATAAGAATTTAGATATTAGGGTAATCCAGTTTTTATTTTGAACAAATTTATACTACAATTTGTTTGATTTGAATCACTACCTCTTTCCGAGCATACACTTCTGATAGGGTTATTAGTTGTAAATCACCATTGTATGAAATCCCTGGTTTGATACTGGACTGTGAAACAATACTCCTCATCGGGGTCTGTTCAAGCAGGACGTGGCCTACAAAAAATATAAAATAACACGATATAATTTTCCCAGATTTCGAACTGTATTTGCACGGGATGGATATCCAGCTCATATTATTTCATGATGTAATCTCTGTAATATGCTATATTTTTCCGAGATTACCCACTTAATTTCAAAGAAAAATTACCTGCAGATCACTAGTGTAGATGAGCGTGTTTGATTCGAAGATGAGCACTGGTGTACAAATGCTTCGACTGTTATTTAAATAGCCATGGCCTGCACTATCGTTGGAAAACCCAATTCGGCGTAATGAATATGTGAACATAATTGTTTACATAAATATGTTATCAGAAAACGCAGAGACCAACCTATTTCAAATTAGGTCTTTAATTTGATTGGTTGAAATTGATTCTGTAAACCAAAAATAAAAGGAAACAATTATTTTTTTTTAAAAAGTCTTTGGTAACTGAACGGTCTCATGGATTCTTACGCAATGTCAATTAATATTCTGCTTTTCTGTAAACGGTGTCGTTCCATTTGGGCGGGAACTTTTTGTGCTATGTTATTTTGCTTTAATATATATAGAGATAGAGATAGAGATTTTAATTTTTAAATGTTGTGCTTTTATTTTTTTTTTTAATAAAGGATGTTGTGGCAATAATTGTAACATTAATTATTTCCCAAACCATATAGCTTTATTATATAAAGGATTATTATTGTTATTATTATTATTATTATTATTATTATTATTATTATTATTATTATTATCTTTTTTCCCTTTTTTCTCCTCTTTGTGCACACAGTGTTGTTGTTGTTGTTGTTGTTGTTGTTGTTGTTGTTGTTGTTGTTGTTGTTGTTGTTATTATTATTATTATTATCTCCTCCTTGTACACACAAATTTGTTGTTGTTGTTGTTGTTGTTGTTGTTGTTGTTGTTGTTGTTGTTGTTGTTATTATTATTATTATTATTATTATTATTATTATTATTATTATTATTATCTCCTCCTTGTACACTCAAATTTGTTGTTGTTGTTGTTGTTATTATTATTATTATTATTATTATTATTATTATTATTATTATTATTATTATTATTATTATTATTATTATTATTATTATTATTATTATTATTATTATTATTATTATTATTATTATTATCTTTGTTGTAGAAATGTTATATGGGATTTTTGTATTTAATGAAATCAGAAAATTAGAAAATTGAAAAATTGAATGAATAGGGAATAAAAATTGAAAAATTGGAGAAATGGAGAAGGAAAACTGGAAGAATGGAGAAGAAAAACTGTAAAAATGGAGAAATGGAAAACTGAAAATGAAAAAACAAAAGAATGAAGTAAACGACCCCTTAATGTCTGGCAGTGTATCTGACATGCAATTCGATTGGTATGATTTATATTATTTCTTTTGTCTATCTTATATATCCTATGTTTTAGTTTTGCACTATATTCTTTTTTTAGGGGTTCTATTTTCATTATAGATGTAATTGGTAGAGTTATTAATTGATGCTAGGATGGACAAATCTAGGTTGTAAAGTCATCTATGCAAATGTCTTGAGATACTCTTTCAACTTAGATAATACAAACAATTGAAAGTTACATTTTCCAATTTGTAATCTTCCAATATGACCATCTGTTTTTTATGTTAAGTTCTTTTTCAATCCTAAGCCCAACTTTATTTTAATCAAATCTGCTTCACAGAAATTAGTATTAAGTTATTAACCTTACTATATAAAAACAAATACAGTGGACAAATACATTACAAAAAAAATAAAAATAAAATATATATAAAACCACACAACATTGAACCTAACTATAGCTAAATCTGTTACCTCCAGATTTCTAAGTTAAATCCTAGAGAATAAAGTGTTGAATGATAGTTAATCTAAGAACATATTAAGCCTTAAATGTATCTAAGAACATATTAGACTAAAAAAAATTAAAGAAAGAAATGTATGTCAGTTTGAAATGTATCACTCTAGAACTAAACTAACAGGGCGTTTGGTTGGAGAGGGGGAATTACGTGGGAAAAGATTTGCAATTCCATGGAAGATGAATTACTGGAAATAAAGTGGAAATTTAAATTCCAATGTTTGGTTGACAAGAATAGAATTACCGGGAATTTCAATTCCAATGTTTGGTATACATGGGAATTGAAAGGGAATAAATAGTATAAAATCCAAAATGTCCATTATTGTTGTCAAACATTAATTTTAGGTTAAAAAAGAGAGATGTAATTTTGACTCATCACTATCTTTTTTTCTTCCTTAAATCCCAGGGGGGACATGTGATTTTAATTCCATGAAAATGGGGGAATTGCAATTCCTTTCAACCAAACAAGGGAATTATTCCTTTCAACCAAACAAGGGAATTTTGTGGCCTTTGGAATTAGGTGGGAATTAAGTGGGAATGAAATTTAAAATCCCTTCAACCAAACGCCCTGTAAGGGATACTTATTAAACTTAGATAATAAAAACAATTGAAAGTTACCTTTTTCAAATGGCATGCAACAACACCTGCAAAAGAACTAAGGAAGGGACAATTCAGCATAAAGCTGGTAAGACTTACTCCACTTGTAAAATATTTTGCACATAACACATAACACACGGGCAAATAATTGACACATAATACAACTCTTTAATATATTATTATTCTTCTCATTATTATTTTTCTTATTTGTACATACATGATATGAAATCAGTCATGCTAAGTATGCAAACACACCATCATGTAAGGACATTACTCAACACTACATTAGTATGATATATATACAACACATGATAACATACTACTCCATCTGTCCTATTTTATATTTCTACTTATCATTCATTGGTCAAACCAACTCTTTCTTCTTTGTTTAATTTCTTCAGTATTTTTTATTTTTAAATTTGATTTTTTTTTGTGTGTTTAATAGTACTTTTAGTGTAGTTTCTAAATATATAAATTTTGTATACTAATGCTAAACTTAAATTTATGAAAAATTAGTTTAAAAATAACTTCAGTCAAGTCTTGTACCAAACAAATAAAATGATACGGAGGAAGTATAAAAAGCAACTATTAGTATGAAACACATTCTTCACCAATAGTCATTTTTACTTGCATACAAAATATCACATTAAATTTCCTTTCTTTTTCCTATATCAATAGCTATAACCATATAAATATATTTCTCATACAAAAATAGATTTTACTCGCGCCAAAATAGAGTTTATAATATATAATAGGTATAACATTCCACTACAAAATAATTACAAGTTATAGCTCTATAAAATTTCATAATTTATCACCAAATGTCACCAAGTCAATGACGAGGAAAAATACAGAGCAATAACCATTACATCGGCCCCAATGACTCAACCTCTAAGTATTATTTTTCAAAAAATCTCATTAGTTTTTAATTTTTTGCCCCCATTACCGAATATTTCTTGATCCGCCTCTAAAAATGGAGGCTTTATTTATAGTCGAGAAAATGTAACTTCCACCCCACAACAAACTCCTTTAATATTATATTTATCCAATAAATAAATAATTATTTAGGATGAATAGTAAGGGTATAGTCTATCCAAAATGAATATTGTATGCACTTTCAAGATTCTATTATTATATTTGAATTTAATTATAATAATTATAACTATTTAAATTCAAATATAATAAAACTTAGTAAAATTTAAAAAAATAAATATATTGAATTGAGGAAGCTAAGGTGATCTGATGAAGGAGCTGAGATTATTAAATTGAGTGGAAGCGGATGAAGCTAAGCAGTAAAGCAATGAATTAATTTAAGGAAGACCAGGGTTGAGGTTCAGCCTTTTGGAAGAATTTAAGGAAGACCAGGCCAGATCCACATTTAATTAATTAATTTGTGATAAATCCCTATCCGATGAAAAGTAAATTAAAGCATCCATATCCTAAAACAACGCAACACCACAACTAACTAACCCTTAGCTTTAACTATAAATACTACCATTGCCCATCCATAATCATCAATCTTAAGGAATTGAAACACTACATCAATAATAAAACAACAAACAATAAACAATGTCGGCGTCCCAGAAGTTGGTTAACGTTGCAGTGTGTCTGGTGTGCGTGTGCATGTTTGTCCTCACTGTCGACGCTTCGCTTTCTTCGGTTTACAAGTCATGCTTCGATCCATGCAATTCCGCTTGCAAAGACACAGGAAAAACTGTCATTGTATGCGGAAGACAATGTGAAAGCGAATGTACCGACAAGGCGTATAAAGGTAGATATAGTTATAGTTATATTTTAAATTAGTTTTTTTTTTTCATTAATAATTTTGAGGTTATTTTGTAATTGCAGAGGGCAAGCATAAGGACGAGGGCAAGCAACTTATTGCCGATGGCAAACTTAAGGACGAGGGCAAGCAACTTACGGACGAGGAGAAGGAACTTTGGGACTTTAAGAAAAAACAGATTGAGGACTTTATGGGCATGCATTGTAAGGCTTTTAAGAACAAGCCATGTGAGGACGACGATAAGCCATGTAAGGACGTGGAGCATTTCTGTAAGGACATGCATACACTCCTTAAGGATGAGAACAAGCAACTTAAGGATGATGACAAGCTTCTTAAGGACGACAATAAGGTAGCTAAGGACGAGGAAAAATCAACTTAATTAAGGACGGGGTAAAAATCTAGAAGAATAATAAAACAATCTATTATATTTAATGTGAAACATCATAGGATTTCTATATTTGAAGTCAATATTATATTTTGAGATAGTGGCGGTTTTTCTTGTCACCCCTATCATGTAAAGACTATATGTCACTTTTGTAATAGTTTTTGAAAGTAAATAAATATTTTATATTTTTCATATTAAAAATAATATTTTATCATTTTTGTATATATAGCACTAATAATTTAAAAAGTAATGTTTAAAAACTTCAATGATATCTAAACTAATTAAAACATAATTGAAGATATCTTTTAATTAATTTTACAATAAGAAAATGATGAAAATATTATACATGTTTCAAAAACTCAAAATATTATTTATTTAATTATTATAATATGATCATATGTTTAAATCAATAATTAATTATAAATGTCTGCAAATTATATTACACTAGTTTAATTTTATTTTCACGGCAAAATGTACTAATATTGTTGATCATGGATCTTACAAAATGCAATGAAATCCCCCTTCACTCTTTTCTCTAGTCTTACAACAAATTTTGAAGTACTATAATGATAATATATATTAATATTAAAACACATATATGTTCCATGCACCTCAACTAAATGATCGAAAGCGTATTTGACACAACTGGGGCCCTGTTTGTGTTCTGCCCGTGTAGGGAGTAGGGCCCGAGTGGGCAACCTCCTCGGGTAGGATGCTCAAGATGGTGGTAAGGTAGTTACTCTCAATGGATTCCGCCAGGGCTGTTCGCTCCTTTAGTCAGTGGTAAAGGCTCATTTTCCAAAGGCCCAAACGCGGCTCATTTTCCAAAGGCCCAAACGAGGTCCTCGGTTTGATTCTTCTGGATGGCCTGGAAAAAGGCCTCCGTAGCGCATTGCGGTAGAGGTGAGCGGTGAGGCGACTCGGGTCGTTGAACTTAAGCATAGCCTTTTGGGCATATTCCCGGGTACTTTTAGCCTCCTTCGTTGCAGACCACTTCTCGGTTGACTTACGGTCTTCTTCAGGGGTTCGGTCTCCTCTGTTTATCCGCAATTGGAAAAACAATATTGACTGAGTCCATTGATATCCATTCTTTCTTTCAGTTTTCGGTTCTACTTTAAACGATTTCCATGAGTGAACTTATAGGAATAAATTGATTTCGATTAACCAACACCAACCGGTCGTTAGTTCCAAACACGAAAAAATAATGAAGAAATGAGAAAATGAGACAATTTTTTTGATGATTTTTTCTTTTTTTTTTTTTATCGTTATAATAAGTAGAAGTTATATAGGGCTATACGGACTCGAACCGTAGACCTTCTCGGTCAAACAGATCAAACTGCTTATTATCAAAATGATCTGAACTGTTTCAAAGACCCAACGTGCATTTTTTTTTTTTTTTTTTTTTTTTTTTTTTTGCATTGGGCTCTTTCATTGACTGATCTAAATATCAGTCAGTTTGCCATATTTTTTCTTGACAGAAAAATAAGATAAAGAAAGGGCTCGGCCTTGGCTCGACAGTAGAGGGCGATGAGAATGCAAGTTAGCTACATAAAGGATCAATTAATTTTATGAAGCAACGATTAAGAAATATAAAATAGCGAGGCGCATACCTGCACTGGATCTTGGGCGCCCCGTTCGTCGATCTGGTCGGCCATCCAATTGTGCATATTGTCGCCCGGGCGGATCAGGTCGCTAAGCTTCCCAGGAGGGCAGCTGGTTGCTCACTGCTCAACAGAGCATCCACCACGGGAGTCCAGGCCGGGGGGCTGTAGCGCCGAGTCCGTTTTAAAGGAACCACCTCCTTGACGTTAGAGTCAGTGGCTTTTTCCTTACCCATTTTGCTCTGAACCTGGACGACGAGCAAATCCTGGCTCGAGTTGGTGAGCTGCGCCGTGGTCGTGGCGGTTAAGGGAACAACAGTCGGCACGGTTGGCTCGCATGGATCGAACACCGAAGAGCTTGCTTTCTTTTCGCCTAGGGCGGCATTAGGGCAGGGCTTCTGAAGTGCTGAGAGAGCGGTGTCAAAACCTCTATCCTGCCCCATACATGCAAAAGAAACTACAACATTAGTATTATTCATTAGTACTCGGTCAAATCTGACCTACGGGACTTAAGCCGAAATTTAGTGAAAAAATTTCTTCTCGCATATTTCCAGGTCAAAGGTATCGATTCAAATATTCTTAATATAAAAACAATGTTTCCAGGTCAAACTGACATCGCTACGATCAATTCGAACAATATTTTCCCATCGGTACCAAACCAAGCCTTAAATCCTTTTTGATCGGTCTGGTGCTCGGATGGGAGTTTATATCCACCGATCCGATTCAGTTCAGATATTTTACAATATGTATTATTCCCGATGTAATGCCCTATTGAATGAAATAATTTGTAACTGTATTGTATATTGTAGTGTTTATTTAGGTTGGCTCACCCCGCCTCCATGAAAACTGATCTCGACAATGGCGAAGAACAATCCCTAGATCATATTATTTTCAATCTCTCAGTTGGGGAATAAATATGAAGAACGATCACTAGATCACAGTAAAATCATCCCTAGATCAATTCAAATCCGGTTTTAGTATCGGGCAAAAAGTCCCCATGACCGCAATAATTCCAATCCCTAGATCGATGTCAAATTCGATCTCAAAATCGATAGAAACGGTCTTTAGATCGTAATGAATCCGATCTTTAGATCGATGGAAAATCCAATGGGTTAATCGATAAAAGGCGATCCCTAGATCGCGAGCAACCCGATCACTAGATTGAAGGTAAGCCCGACCTGTGGGTCGATGAAATTTGATCGCTAGATCATAGTATATCCGACCTATCGGTCGAGGTAAGTGACTAAACCATTAGGTCGGTTGACTTTCGTGGTTGTGATGCTCAGCTTTAATTTCTCGGTGCGGTCTTCTCCCAGGCCTGAACTCGACTTGGAGGTCGGTTTAATTTGATCTCTAGATCATAACGTGCCGGATCTGTTGGTCGGTGAGTGTAAATAACCATTTAGTTGGATGACCTTGAGAAACCCGAGGGCAAGATATAGTCCCGACTACATTTACTCCCCTGTGCTAGTGATCTCCGCACCACGGGAACTGGAGGGCCGGTAGTGTGACACCCCGTAATCCAAATTCAATTAAGGGATTAATTAAGTAATTATGTAACACCCCCAAAACAACAAGACCTAAAAACAAGTCTTAACACATGCAGATTAACAACAAAACACTAGCACAGCGGAAGAAAACAGAAACTGGATAAAAGAAATCCAAAACAGGGGTGTTATGCCACGTATACCACACGAGGTAACGCTAAGGCGACAATCTGCAAGTGTATCACACTAACCCAAAACATCAGTCTAAAAACAATCTAAAACCATTGGCACACAGGCCACAAAAACACAGTCTAAAGATACAGGTGCTAAGCTACCGGCTCTAGACATCGCGCTCGACTACTCAACACCTGAAAGATACAAAGATAAACATTGGAGCGACGTCCGGTCAGCGAAAGATGCTGGTAACCCACCAATACCGTTAAGTATCATAAATAGGTAGATATAAGATATAAAAACCATTTTCGAAACAGAATACATATATATAAGTCAAAAGCCAAGATCAAAAGACAACACAAGACTCACCACTCACAAGGATAACACCGGGAACACATCCCAACCACAAAGATTAACCACACACAAGGATAAAGACTCACCCAACGGCAACACATGCCTAAACACCACAAGCCTCCGTGACTACACACGTCACGAGAGAAGATCACACAACACCGGCTTTACAAGCCCTCGCGACATCACCCATCACGAGTTGATATGCCTTCCTTATGCCCTGTTCCAACCTTATGGCTACCCCCAACCTTGTACCTTCAAAGCCAACCATTACCTCCAGAAATCCCCTGTACAGCAAAGTCCAACCTTATTCCGCCGGGACCGTCGTCCCCCACCTATAACCACTAACGAAAACCCACCAATTACGGCAACACATGCCCGGATAACACAATGTTATCCCCCAATCACGTGGACTCAGCCACAGCTCCATAATCACGTCACGGCCACCATGAGGACCGCTGCAATACCTTGGTGACTAGTGTCCCATACCACTAATCGTGCAATCCAGGTAGAGCCACACACGCACCACCACTCACACGAATCAATCAACGGATTGCAAAGAAGGTATGAAACACACTCAATCAAGAGATGGGTCACAGCCCAACAACAACAACGATGAATAACACAAGTTATCATCCACCAAACGGAAGGTACGAACAACACACACGCTAGCATTAAGACAACAAACTAGCATGCTTATCAACGGGGAAACTCAAGATAGTTCCGAGGAACACACAAGACACTTCTTGGTTCAACGAAACACAATGTTGAACACTTAGCACGGTTCAAGACACCAAAGATCCTACACGGATACCTACCATAAAGCTCTAGACCTACGAAACATCAAGAAGACGCTCAAATAGTTCCACAAAAGAACAACGGGAAGCCAAAAGATCAAACACCGAGACAAACAAATCACGGGGAACAAATCCCATCACCACACCACTGTGTTCCCCGTGGGTGGACCCACGGGTAGTGCCCCACCCGTGGTCCCGCCCGCGGATACACAACCCACAAGGCAACATGTTCCCCGCGGGTAGGCCGGCGGGTGGTGCCCCGCCCGCCGTTCCGCCCGTGGGTACGTCCCTGTACCACAACAAATCCCTTCGGGGATTTTCTTCTCCAAACACAACTTCAAGTCCAAAACATGCCAAATCTCACCAAACACAACAAAATGACTTGAACCAAGGAAAATGCCAAGCAATGGCACAAAGGAACCCTAAACACGAGCTCTAGATATGCAATATCACAAGATAAATGCATAAACCCTCACATTTCATAGCAAAACACATGTAGAATCCAAGAAATCACATATAGGTAAGAAAAATAGGTTTTGTAGAGCATGGGTTACCTCTTGAAGACCAAAAGACTCCTCTTACACCACAACAAGCTCTCCACTAAGCTCACTAGCCAAACCCACTTCAAGATCAAACTAAAAGATCATAAAGATCCCACCTTTAAGAAAAAGACTACTAAGATGGAACCAAAAAGACTAGACAAGCTTAGATCTTACCCTTCTAGATGCCCAAATAGATGAAAGATTG